GCACCCCCACCCATGGGCGGGGATGGCGTTACAGGCTAGAGAAACTGAGGCCGAGGGTGTGTTTGTGTTAGCTAGGGAAGTCTGGCAGACCCACTCCTTGGGACCTCGAATTAAGGGAGTGGGTCCCCCACTTGACCTGTGCTTCCAGCTCCCACAGAGGTGCAAAGCTCCTTTTTGGGGTTTGTACCTCCAAGCTGTGTAGAGTCCCTCAGCACTGCTTCCATCCTCTCCCTGAATGGAACCCAGATATTTTACTCACAGCTCTTTAGAAACTCAGGTATCTAGTACATCCCATCCCATGTTCTCCAAACTACCCTCTCGGCTTCACCAATACTTATTAAATATTTGTATTGCTGGAACTACCCCTCCATTCATTAGTGGTCCGCTTAATATGATCTTGGTCACGAGTACTGCCAACAGTCCCTCTTAGCACGCCTGCAGTCCTTGCACCCTAAGAAAATTAGGCATCCCTGTGTACATTCCTAGTTAACATCAGTTTACCACCTCAGATTCTGCTGCCTATCCTCCACTCTGCCAGATTCCACTGGGCAGTTTCTTAACTAATTCCATGTTTCTACTGCCAGCCTTCAAGTCCTTTGTTTCCCATCCTACTTCAGCCTTCTGGTCCAGGGGTTCCTCAACCAACCAGAGCTCTATGTGTGTCATCCCTTCCCTGCTCCGGAGACAGGTCTCTGAATTGGTCTGACCTGCTGTCTGTCAATGAGGACGCTCACTGCAATATCTGACTCACCAACATAAGGCTCCTCTATCCCACTAGAGACCCAAGGATCTTAATGTGTCCCTTCATCAAGCCTAGCTCAGGTATCCAGTTATAGGCAAAAGAGGGAGATGGGAAGGAGAAGACATGACCTCAGATTCAAAGCGCCCAAGCAGGAAGAGGACAATGACCCTGGCTGGACAATCACAACCTCATATCCCTTCATTCCTTAACCCAACCATGATTTGGTTCTGTCCCTACTCTCATCTACAGAAACTGGTCTTCTTGAAGTCATCATTCCAACTGTCAAATCCAATGGTCTTTAAAAAACCTTCATCCTACTAAACATCTCTGCAAGATCTGACAATGCTGATTTTTCTTCTTGCTCCTTCCCCTTTTAAAATTTGCATGAAAGGTTGGTCACATCAAGTCTGTATTTCAGTCCTGACTTTTAATTTCCAGTTCTGTACTGCCCTTGTAAACCTGCCTTTCCTCCTGGGACTCCTGAGCTGGTTAATGGCATGATCACCTAGGAGCTGTTCTTGACCTTTCCCATCCTTCACAGGGCATCAAATCTTAATTGGAGGTCTCAAATAAAACCAGCATTATTATGGAGGGTAGACCCCCAGTAGTACAGGCTTCTCCCACTAGATAATTGTTCTGGGAAGCCATCAGCCTCAGTGCACCAGCTAGCATTGTTGTGAGAGGTTGCTTCTGAGTTCAGTGAATTTTTTTTTTTTTTTTTGAGATTCTTTCAACACTTTTGTGAGCATACCTGTCCACACAGCACTGGGTGTTCAGTAGTTTTTGACCAAAAATGGTATGATCCCTGTGCCAGGAGAGCAGGACAGCCACCTTTATCCAGAAAGATGTTCAGAGTTTCTATGATTAGGATCTTTGGAATTAAGAGTAGTTTTCTGAAAGAATTGTTTTCAGCAGAAATGCACAAAGTTTCAGGATTTGTATGATGAGGCTCTCCTACTCTAAGAAGGCAAAACCAACTGCCAGGATCTATCAATGGTAAGAAGCAGGAAATGGTGGAGGCAGAGTTAATACCAAACATCCTTGTAGGGCTGGGCTCCAATTTCCTGGGAAGTTGTACCTAAATACTCTAGACCACAGTGATCTCTCTTTCTTTTTCCACCACATACATTTGCTGCCTTGAACAATTAGCAGGAGTTTCATGTCTTAGCTCTCCAGCTAGGCAATATGGAATATCCTAAATTATTATTACAGACACTATTGATTTTGTACTAATGTGCCAAGCAATGTGCTAATGCACATGCTACTCACAGTGCTCTGAGTAGAGTAAGTTCATGAAGACTTTGGGGTCTGAGAGTAATTTTCCTTTGACTTACAACATCTTTTTGGTCCATTATTCTGTTGACTTGATCCTTGCCTCCTCCAAATGCATCTCTCCCAAAGCTGCTCACACCCAAAGAAAGAGAAGACACGATTTTGCTTAAGAGTCTATGACAAATCCCACTTCTCTAGTAGAGTCTCCAAAAAATACATTCTGAGTACAGAAGATCTAAGAATGACATCCAAGCTGGACAGAGAGGGCAAGGCAGACTAGATGGCTGATCTTCCCCATTTTGCAGTTGTCCTATTAAGTTAGCACCAGGTATTGTGGTGTAAAGCCACTACCACTCAGAAGGAAAGGTGTAGGACCCCAAGAAACATATCAGTCAAGGACCAAGACAGAAGGCAGAGACAGAGACAAGATTCAGAGGTTAGTTACTAGGAAGTCCTCCACTGTATCTAGGAAGTAGAATCCAGGCAAACTCTGACAGCTAAGTTCTTTAAGGAAAGAATGCCTCCCCCCTCAGAGTAAGAGAGTTAACACCACATATTACAGCAAGTTAGTTCACTGAAAATTGCCTGGAAATACATGGAAATGACTCGACTGTCAATCTTTTGTGTGGATCTTTAAGTACTAAACTGTATAAGGCAAAGTAAGACATCAAAGATAAGTTTTGCAATTAAGAAAAACTGATAAGGTACATACAATAAGAACACTAAAGTTATAATAACATGGAAAAGAGCTAATGAAATCAATGTAGTTATTAAATAGAATCACTGACTGCTCTGAGAAAATTTTCATAGATAAAAACAGCTCTCATTTTATACAGGGAATAAAAGGAAAAGAACAAGGGTACAAGGGCAGCTATTTGTGAATAACAATCATACAAGATGCTTTTGCTCTTAGGAACTATATAGACAAAAGCTAAAAGGGAGCAGTGCTGCCAACACTGAATTTCTTCAAATTCTTTAACTTCAGATTACGATTATGAAGAACTATTTTGTCATTACTTCTTTTGTGCTGTTGCTCTTTTTAGTACTTTTAAAATGGCTTTGCTGTGATGTAACTGCTGCTTAGAAACAAATGCTCACAACACAAGTACAACACGACTACAAAGAGATTTGGCATATAGAGAGAAAAAGTACCCCATTTTATTTATTTATTTGAGAGATGTGGGGTACAATTCAGGATTAGGTATACAAGTGGGCATCGTACAGATAAAGTTTGGGCCTCCCTTTGGTCCCCACTTTGCCTGGTTTGAGATCAGGTACGCTTATTGATGTTATGTGCACCCCCCTCCCTCCCTCCCCTGGCAGTATCCCACTACTGCCAATTCCTTTCTTACAGTATTATGGTAAATGTTCAGGGTCCGCTTATGAGTGACTCAATTTTATTTTGAAAATGTAAGATATTCACAAGCGATGAACTTCCTGTGCTGTAAAATAATATGAAGTATAAAAACCCTACAGCCTTCCGCAGAAGGCTTAAAGAATTTTAAACATCTGTATAAGGCAGGAAGAGCAGTTGAGCTGAGTGGGGCTGAGTTGAAAGGCACCATGGTGATGAGTCAGGTATATTCACAGATAGAGAGAGAAAGTTTAAAGGTTCTTGTTATGCCAAGCATGATTTAAACAAACTTTTTAGCTGAGTTTGCCCTTGTTACAGAAGAAAAGCTTTAAGGATGTTCTCGCATTGATTACTCTAGTCAGGGTGCAGTCACTGTCTTCTACATTCAAATTTTCACTCTGTTCCCATTTTAGAGCTGGCTTCACAAAAAATTTTCCATTACTTTGCACAGGAAAATACACTAACAGAAGTGACAGCTTATGACCAATGAAACCAGTAATTCAGAAGGTGACATGGGCACAGTGAAGTATTAATAAATGGGAAGTAGAAGAGAATTTTTGTTTAGGTGTTGTGATGATTATTTTTTAGTAGATATTCCAAATTAAGTGATTTTGAAGATATTAGCATCACAAGTTTGGGGCCTCTGGGTCTCTGGGAATTTCCCTGGAATTTTTTTTTTTTTTTTTTAAGTCAGGGTCTCACTCTGTCACCTAGGCTGGAATGCAGTGGCATGATCATGGCTCACTGTAACCTTCACTTCCTAGGCTAAGCTGTCCTCCCTCTTCAGCCTCCCAAGTAGGTGGGACTATAGGCTAAACAGGGGAGCATACTACAGAATAGTAAAATAAGGAATTTAAACACTGTACTTCTGTTTAAGATATATCAGGAGGCTCTGGGGGTGACCCTGTGACAAAACATAACTAGAATTAGGATTCATAATTTAGAACATACAAAGAAAAGGCAGAAGAGAATTGACAAATTTTTATTTATTTCATTTATTTTAAAGATGTGGGGTACAATTAAGGGTTGTGTATACAAACGTTGATTATGCAGGTACCCTTGTTGATGATGTGTGCCCCTCCATCCCCTAGCAGTTTCCCTCAGCTGCCAATTCCACTCCCCCTCCCTTGATAGTTTCCCACTACTGACAATCCCTTTCTTATAGTATTATAATTGTTCAAGGTTGACCTAGGAGTGAGAACATGTGGTACTCTGTTCTTTGTTTCTGTAATAGATCATTGAGTATGATCGACTCTAAATCCATCCAAGTTGCTGTGAAGTCCATATGTTTATCCTTCTTTATGGCTGTGTAATATTCCATTGTGTATATGTACCACATTTAAAAAAATCCAGTCCAGCTTCAACGGGCAGCATGGTTGGTTGCATGTTTTTGCTATTATGAATAGAGCTGCGACAAACATACGTGTGCAGGTATCTTCTTTGTAGAATGATTTGACTTCCTCTGGTTACATTCTCAATAGGGGAATT